TCGTGCCCCGGGGGGGGCGGGGCCTCGCTCTCAGCCAATCCCGCGGAGCCTGATCGCAGCGGCCTTCAACTCTGCCTGGAGAACGCCCATAGCAGCTAAGGCAGGCTGTGATTGGGGGAAACTGGTCACGTGCGCAGGCGCGCTGGAGACGGGCTGTACGTCGGCGCGTGGCACGTCCCTGCGTCACTGGGGTGCGCGGGCTGTTCGGCGGTGTGAGTCGGGCCTGCTCGAGGCAGCTCCCCCGCCCCCCTCGCCCCGGCCCGCCCCCGCCCCCGCCGGCTTTTCCTTTTCGGCCCCCGGCGCCGGGGCCGGCTTCAGCTTTGGGATCCCGGCCCCGGCCCCGGCCCCGGCGCCGGCCGGCGCACAGCCCGCTGGGCTTTTCTCCCTGCCTGCCCCGGCCACCTCCGCGCCGACCGCCGGCTTCAGCTTCGGGGCGCCTGCCACGGCCACGGCCACGCCCGCCCCCGCTGGGAACGTCTTCTCATTGGGGTAAAAGGGGATCGCGGCGCCACGTGGGCCCCGGGAGCGGAGGGGGTGGTGGGGTTTCAAAGGAAAACCTTCCCACGCTACTGTGGCCGCATTGGGCCCTTACAAGAAGTTCTCAATGGAAGTCAGTGGAGGAGAGGGAGGGGTCCTGCACACACGGGTCTGCAGGTGACAGCCAGAGAATTGTACCACCGCAGAGGAGTGTGACCAGAAGGGACCTCCCGAGGTCACATCCAGTTTGGCCTTTGTGAGAGGCAGGTTCATCCTTGTCCAAACCACCCCATTAGCTGTAGTCTAAACTCTACATGAGGCTGCCCTCAACCCTGACATGGCACAGACCTAACAGTTGAATCTGCCATGGGCAAAGCAGGGAAGCACAGCCTGTAACATCCTGCTTCTATGAAATGTTGTCAGTATGTGCTCAGTTAGAGGGCCATGACCCCTGCCCTCTACAGAGGAAGGCAAAAACCCTGTGGTCCACACCAATCTGACCATGGGGCAAACAAAATTCCTTCCTGACCCCAAATCAGCATGGTATCTCATGAGAGTGGTTGGAGAGGCGTCTTTCACCCTTTGTCTAAACAGCTTGGCCTTGTGGAGCATTATGGCCCATCCCAGATGTTATTCTACTGGGAAATGTGGTACAGGTACACTATTTTCTTTTGAGACTTTGGCCCAGGGCTTGAAGTAAGCTCACTGAGGATTCTCCATTTTCAAGTGAGCAGGGTAGGGCTGCGGGAGGGGAGGTGGGGTTTCTTAATACCACCCCCCCCCTTTCCAAAAAATAAGAAAACCGCTCATAAATAACCCCCCCC